AAATTAATTAAATATATTTTTCAATTGTTATTTTAGAATGTCTTAAAATTTTTTGTTAATTGTGTCTAATTAATTGTACCGGTTCAAACTGTTGACTAGTTTTATTGATTTTGACGGTTCACTACAAAACTGTTTTATAAACCAACCAAATAATTAAGGATGGCTTCTTAGATCAATTTTGTTAACCATAGTGTGATCCATATGCAAGTATATTGCCTTATAACCCTTATCACTCTAAAAATAAAAAATAAAAATAAAAACAATAGAATGAGGTATTTAACATATAAATTTAATTGAAATATAATGATGATGTAAAGATTATTTATAATATCTTTTAATCGTAAATTGTTATATTGTTAAAATTCGTTAATATTTTAATAATTATTATTTTAAAAGTTTGAAATTTATTCAATATATCATATTGAATACTATAAAACAAATTATAACGAAATTTACAATATTAACATAGGAGAAGAAAATAAATAAAAATGTGAAATAATGAATTAAAGATAAAGAAAAAGAGTATTATTATTTGTATACTTTGTCATATCAATAATAACACCCTTCTATATATCATGTTAATTAAACTCTTTAACAGATTCGAATTATTAATTATTTGGAATTTGGGAAAAAGTAGTCTTCTTAGTTTGACAAGGTATTTGTAATGTGAAAAATTAACTTTGATCAATGATTATGAAAATTCTTCTGTAAGTATTATTTGCACTATGAGTTTCTTACAATGAAAAGTTGAGCTACCGTGAATAGCAGCAGATACAAAGAAGGAAATAACGAAAGTAGGGAAATATTGAGAGAGAAAACGAGAATCAGCCTTTCCATACTCTCTCTCTTGTAACTAATTGGCTATATACCATCATGCTCTCACACGTAGTCCTTCCAACGTGAATTTGATATTCTATTTCTTTCACTTTTCCGCACGTCCACCTTCCATGAATTAGTTGCCACCTGTCCCTTATATGATGTGCCAGCTTCAGTCTCCATGCTTTTTCCCTTAATTACCCTTCTCTCATTTGTAGATGTGACAATACCATCCCCTTTAACCACAACCTTATCCTCAAGGTTGAAAGTGGGAAATGCCTCTGTCAAAGCATTATGATCCTCCCAAGTAGTTGTTGTATATTAATAATGGGGTAGAGGGTGTCACATAAATCATACACATGGATGTGATAAAAATAAGACAAAAAATGAAATAAAATTGCAAGTAATAAGTTGTGATTTTATAACAAATTGACATATTACTATATTCAGTATAGTTCAACTATTACACAGTGAAAATAAGCATGCAACAATTATATGTATACAATATTTAAGACTTAAAACATTTTTTCCAATTAAACTAGAAACATGGATCCTCTTAGGAGTCTCATACATACCTTGTACATATATATAATATACATGTAATATGTAAAAATATATCATTGGAAAAAGAAAAGGGTAAGCTTGTGAAATGAATCAACATATAATCACAGTATTAAGTAATAATTTAGGCAACTTAAATAACAACATTCATCTCATCATGCAACTATAACTTGTTATCAAGTATTGCACAAACAACTTGCAACATAATATAACTTAATGATTCCCCGACCTTTGTATTTTACTTGGTTAGTCACTTTATACATGCATGTTTCAACCTTGTCCATACACGGATTTCACATAAACTTAAAGAAGACAACTTATAACAGCTACTCATTTAGAAACCATCTTATTTACCGAAGGGTTTTCAACTGGGCAATCATAACACTAATTTATATATACACAATGAGATATTGTATTTTCTAAGACATTTTTGACCCTCCTTTAGTCTTTATGTATCTTAGCAAAGACATTTATATGTACCACATGCTTATCAACTTAACGCTTAATCAACTACAACACCGTACAACTTCACAACTTAATTATCTATCAACTCACAACCTAGCAAAATAAATATCATTATACAGTGTATCGACTTGAAACGTAATGAGTTATCATCATACCATCTTCATCATCTTTCAATCATAAAACAACTTAAAATATCACATTAAAATCATGTAACCCACCCCCAACACAATAAAGGCATGGGCTTCATGTCTCACCCACATCTAACACCAAACTAAATGTATTTGTGTGGTCGAGGTAGAGAGCCTCTCACGCTCTTGCACCTGGTATGACAACACCCATGTTCAACTCTAATTAGACATAAAAGCCTTTACCTAATTCATGCTTGGTGCAATTCCATTGGCGCCTAACGTCAATCCAATCAGATATGATCCTTTCTCCCCATGTTTAGTGCCATTCAACTTAACGTTCGATGTGATCAAACCATAGACAATTCTTTCTCCTCATGATTGATGCCACCAATTTTACATTCTACACGAGAGAGACAAAACACCCCTAAATTGAGTTATGCTCGGTGCCATGAAGGTGCACTTGACACAATGACAATTTTCATACTTATGCATAATTTAATTTGCCTAATCCACCTAAAACGTAAAATTTCAACCACATGCAACTTAAAATTCTATAACCAAGTAACATAAACAACTCAAAAATAACTTAAAAATCGACATGTATCCACTGCACTTTGAGATCACTAAGTTCCATCCGAAACATTTCCAAGAAAAAACAAAAAATGTGAACAACTTATCATCTTTTATTCACCCCAATCAATTAATCAACAAATAAATAAATTTCAAACAACAATCAATATGCAATTCAACAAAGTAAAAACAAAGCTTCTTTTACCTTGACCTTAAGCACAAAAGGAGAAGAAAGAAAAGGAAGAACTTCGCACGTTCAATTCAAGATTCCAAGCCCCAAAACATGAATCTCTACAACAAGTAACTTGGATTAGCTATAAGAAAAGGAGAAGGAAAGAAATTTTATTATATAAGAGGAAAAGAAAATTTGAGTTCAAAGAACTTTTCTTTAACTTCACTAATTTATTAAACCATGAACTTATAAAATTTATGTCTTAAGAAAATTTTATATATCATCCCTTACACTAAACCAAGTTAACTCCTATTCAACAACCTTAAAGATAACTTAACCCTCAAAATCTATTAACTCCAAAATTCTCAATCAACAATACTAACAACAACTCACAACTACTCATATAATTAATTAAAATGACTCTAAAACATACAATATTTTATATTAAATAAAAAAAATAAAAAGTTAAAGATAAAGAAGAAAATAACAAGATAATACACCTAAATAAAAACTCCTTATATTAATTCTATTTATGATCCAATCCTCTAGTTTGTAACTTTAAAAAATGTGATTAGATATAAGATTTTGTTTAAACTTTTTTATTGTTTTACAAAAACATTTTTTAAAAATAAAATAAGCGCTTTTTATTTTATAATGTGTTTGTTTAAATTTTTTTATTTTTAAATATGTAGCTTTTTTTTTGTTTTAATTTCTGTTATCTTTTTTTTTTTAAAGTACTTGTTTATAATTTTTTTTTAATTTAAACAAACCCATTCATAATTGAAATTTTGTGTAATTTACTCGTTTTGGGCAACACATCACATGGCAAGAATTAAAAAAAGATCGCTCCGGATACATACAAAGGATCAAGTGTGTATATAACTCATTGTATGACTAAATTTTACAAAATTGCAAACTCGTTTATTATTTTCAATTACTATTTTACAATGTAAAAAAAAAAGTCAGGGAGGTGCACATACCTGTCTCTCGATACCTATAGCATCTAAAGTAGAGATAATCTCTAGAAAAGTTGCATGAATAAATATCACTTAATTTTATAATATTTTTATTTATATATTATTAGTTTATATTACAGTTTTTGTTATTTATTTTTATAGTTCATTAAAATTCATATTTATTACTAGTTTTATTTTTATTTATTTTCATCTTTGAAAATTATAATATTAATAAATATAATTTTCATATTATAATTATTAATCAATATTTTTATTGTTATTCTAATAATATTAATGACATTTTAAATACTTATTATAAATTTATTCTCCTATTTTTAAGAGATAATTATTTTTATTATAAATAAATTTTAAGATTATTTATTATTGTTTTTTTATAATAGTATAATCTTAATAATTTTTTTTATAATTATAGTTAAAATATTATTATAATCTTATTAAAGTGATAAATAATATTTATTTATTTCATTTAGAGATATAAAAATATGATCTAATTATTTTTTTAGTCTCCCAAATTTAAAAACTTGTATTTTTTATCTCTAAAATATAAAAAACACTATTCTAACTTTTCAAATTTAAAATTTATCTTCTTTAGCTTTATGATTTTAAAAAATAAATTATTTTAATCTTTATATCTATTTTTATATTAGCATCTCAAGGGATTAAAAAAATATTTTTTAAGATTATAAAAATTAAAAAGATAAATTTTAAATTTGAAAAACTTAAAGT